CAAACTCTTTGCGTCGCAGGAAGATCTTCTTCTCTGGCTCTGGTTCGGTTCTAAGAACTGTTTGACATCTTTAAGACGAAAGGGGTCGCGAAAAAAATAAGGGTCACGAAACGTCGTCACCTTTCAAATTTCATTAACTGACAGACATTGACCTTATTTTTGGGTGATTTTTATTAGATTTTTTAATAATGATTTAACGTTTGTTTTAAGTCAAATGGCTATAGGAATTACTGTATAGTTTACAGCTATCAAGCTATAGAAAAGACTATACGAAAATGTAATGATTGTACTTTTTGCTAACTATTGATTTTAAATCTTCCATTTAATATGTGGGAAGGAAATTTATTTATGAATAAATTAGCTAAATAACTGTAGAGTTCATTTCTTTAAGTAATTAAAAAACTAAATAAAATAGTTACTTAAAAGAAAACTACATTTTGTTTGTTTTTACCAAAATATTTTTGAGCAATTCAAATAACGAATATTTTTGATTAAATATTACGTTGTCGGATAAAATAATGTAATTACTATTTTTGTGATGTATGCAATTTTGAAATAAAAAACATGTTTTATGAAACAACATGCTAATTTATTATAAATGCGTGAAACTCTATTTCCAAATTACTTCCGTTATACATCATTTTAAATTTTGTTGTTGTATAAATACGCGTGTAACTTCATTATGTTATCCCAAACCATACTTAATAAGAAAATAAAAAAACCATTGACTCACCATTTTTTGGTACATTATACAATTAATCGAGATAAATTTATTAAGTTAATCAATAGGGATTTTTTTTGTTTAATTATATTCTTGGCCCGGATAACTACTCGTTATCGACTTGTACCCACTACTCCCCTCATACTCGATTTGAAAAAACAAATATTTATCTTAGTTAAATCGAGTAACAAATCAACATATCATATTACTTGCAAATCTGGACCAAGTATCAAGTCAGTATAACAAAATTATTGTTTGGCCCGTTATTTGGCTTAATACTCGTTGATGTTATTTGGATTGATACTTGTTAAGAAATTTGTAAAAAAATATTCATACTCATTTATATTACTTGATACTCATTGGTTAAAGTTTTTGACATTTGATCGCATAACCAAACTAAGTCATTTATCAGCTTTACATGCGTATGTGTTATGATCATTTTTACATTTGTTATGTTAGTTTAATGGTTTTATAGGCAAAAAAAAGAGAATCAAGAAGAAGATTACTATGATGTGGAGCACTGAATCAAAAACTTATTTCTTTAAATGCTTATCATTTGGAATTTTAATGTTTTGAGATTTTAGAATGTTTGAACTACGAATGTTTTGTAATTTGTATGAAG